TTTGAGGAAATAGGTTCCTAGTATATTGAGGTGACGATTAGGATCTTTAATTTATAAGAATTATTGTTTATAAGTTAATTCTTTGATTTTGTCGAATTCCAAAGGGGAATAGAATTAAGTTAGAAATAGATTGATTTGACTTTTGTCACGTTGATTCTTGTTGAATTTCATTGAATAAATTATTGTTTGATTTTCACTAAATACCGTATATAGTTTATTACTAGAAGTTTAATTAAATATTCGATTTTGTTATTGACAAACTTTGTCATTATTTAATTCGGTGTATGCTTAAAGTCCAGGCCTGGCACACTAATACGAATCCGCGTAAAGTACCCGTTAGGGAACGGCTATTTCCGGCACACAGTAGTGTCGATAATCGTTGGAAAGTCGGAAAAATAATATAGTACTTTACAAACTGAGATCTCGATCATCCACATCCCTCGAATATCAAGGTGCTTCATTCGTTCCTCTTCAGCTGTGGTGGGAAGAAGAATAAAATAATCCAATAGTTGAAAATATTCCCCAGAAAGACAACATGAAAAATTCATCATTAGATACTGCCTTAACTTCAGACTCTTCTAATACTCAAGAGTCAAGTCGTAGACATCGTAAAACTCCTACATACTTACAACACTATGTTTGTAACTTCTCCTTAGGAGGGGATGATGCTATGTATCGTAGCGCCATCTATGGCAATTCTAAATGTATATATTTCGTAGCGCGCCTGCGCACCGCAGTCAGTTCTGTACCGTTCCGTATTCAATAAAGACGTGCTTGTTATACTTGTTCATAAGAATCCGTTTCCATCCTTCTAATCTAATTCCGACAACAATACACACCATTCTCCATAAGATGCTTAAAATAAGATCAAACATTAGGATGAGTTCAAGTGCAGTGAACTTCTGCGCATGTGTTCCCCTCTAAATATGATTAAAAATTAAACATTGTTATCTAGTATAGCCTGCCATGCCATGGACAGACACATCTCCTCCTTAAAATTAATGCAGGTGGTTCTGCAGAAAGCCGTAAAAATTTTGATGGCCTCCAACCATTTGAGGTGTTCCAGGTGCAATCCTAACCCTCCTAACCCTGACAGACTAGTGGGCAACAGATGTGATAGGGAAATGGTGTACATACATTAGCTCCACTAAACGTTCAATGGGGGTCAGGATGAGGGAGCATACATCTAATATACAACATAGTAGGAGTATCACTGCACTCTCCACCTACGCAATGGATCCGGACATTACAGAGGACTTCCCCAGAGCCCGAATTAACCTTACCACTCTGCATCCGAACACCTCAAATGGTTGGAGGCCATCAAAATTTTTAAGGTTTGATGCATTAACTTTAGGGAGGAGATGTATCTGTCCATAACATAGCAGACAATAATGTTTAATTTTCAATCATATTTAGAGGGGAATGCATGTGCAGAAGTTCACTGAATTCGAACTCATCCCAATGTTCGATCTTATTTAAACATCTTATGGAGAACGCATGTGCATACGGTATTCGAAATTCCTTACCATTCAATTTATATTTGAATGTTAACTGCCAGACTGTTTTGAATTAAGAAGCCTGAAGAAGCCTAGAAGGGATTATGAAAACGTTTGTCACTTAAATGTTATTTGTATTGGTTGATGCGAGTCACACATTTTATATGTGAGTAGATCATTATTAAATGATTATGATCTTTTAAAATTTTTTAATTTGTAATAAATAAATAAATAAAAATAAATGTATTTATATGAAATAAAAACCTGACCATAATAATATTCATACTACACTTACTGTACATAAAGTTTGTTTTCTCTTACTGTAAGTACAGGATAAAATGTGAAGTCCTGCAACAGTTGCCATTATATTATCTTGTCCCATATTCTTGCTATAGTCCACCATAATATCTGTCTAAAATAATGAAATTTAAGTTAATGATTATAAACTATTATGCATTAAAAAATTATATAAAATGAAAATACAGTAAAACGTGTGTAAACCAGAAGTACACCATACCAATTTTTTTTCCTGTTTTGATAGGTTTCCATTTTGAACAGATTTTAGTATTTTTTTTTTATCTTTGGACTATACTAGATAAATGTCACACATTTACATTCTTTTTATAGTAAAATTACTTTTATTAAATATATAAGAAAAATTTTATTATTAAGTTTAACCCAAGTTAATCCAAAGTGATTCCAACTAAAGATGGACATATTTGAATGTAAAAATTAAGAATTATTGGATTTTAAAAGGTTCTCTTTATTTCTGAGAACTGTACTAGGTATCAAATACTAAACATTTTTTAATGTGATCCTCATAAGCTAATACAATATACAAGTCAATTCAAGTACAAAGAAATAGTGTTTGTCTCTGACATCCAAAATTCTAATCACATTATAATAATAGTGACTAAATTATTCTGTAATCTAATTTCTCAAGGAATGTTGGCTTTTTAAATGAGAAAAAAAAAATCTCTCCAAAATGAGAGGTCAACTTATATGTTAAATATAAAATGGAAACTTTTACTAATACTTAATAGTTGCTGCATTTACAAATGAAACACTTAATAATAATAATAATATACCACTTACTATAACTCTAGCAAGCCACAATAAATATTTCTAACTAAAACTTGTGTTTGATAAACTTATTATTATTATTATTATTATTTCTTATTACAAGTACATATTTGGTAATGCTATATAGCAATTATAGCTTCCCTGATACAGAAATGACTAACAATCCAAGTAAAACACAAGAATAAACTATAAAATACAAAATTAAAAAAAAATAAGTAAAAAATACATTATTAGAATCCAGTATAGATATGTAAAAAATAATACAATAAAAACAAAAAAAAAATAAACTTATTTATATCTAAATGTAGATAGTCTTCAATAGCATGGAGAGAAGAAGCAATCCTACAGAAGAAAAAGTGCAGAAAAAGATTCAATCTAAAATGTGGTTAATGGACACATGCTCTGTTTAAAATTTGATATCGGATATGAAAAAACCTGTTTTTTCATTTGTTATGGTTTCAAAGGAGCTTCATAACAATAATAAAATTATACTGTTAGGATTTAGACGTTTTATTCAAAATTTGAATGAAATATTTTCTGTAGGATTCCTACAGAAAAGTCTAAATTTTTGGATTCTATGGAAAAAGATAAAAAACTTTCATCTAAAGCATTTTTATAACATGCATCTATTCAGGGCGGCCTTAAGCCAATTGGACTGATTGCTCCCAAATGGGCTTCACACTAGAGTGCAATCTACTCTCAGCTTGTCAAGTATACACAACAACACAAAGCAAAAAAAAGAAGCTTTGGATATAATATGTTGACGAATTTCCCTGAAAGCAGTGAGTGGCGAAGCTGCCTAATGGGGTGACTGTACCTGACATTTGATTATAAGAAAAAGAGGGATTAAAACATAAATGAAAAAAAATAAAAACACTCAATCATCTGTTTTTTTGGCTATTTATGGATTTTTCAACCTACTTAAGCCTGACTTTAATAGATTGGCTGCATATGGCTTTCTATCACAAAGGCCATGGGCTGAAATGGTGTAAAGGAAAACTTGCTAAAAACATTGCGATGGCTTCGATTTGATGAAATTCCCTAACTCTATTCAATAGACCTATATTCAAAATTGAGTATTTAAATTTTACAAAATAGATTGGGGACAGGGCCTAAGTTTGCTAAAGTTTACTCCACATTTTGCTAAAAAACGTTTTTTTTTGACATGGTAACTGACCAAATTTTCTAGAGGTTGTCAGATATATGTTTGTTTCCATCGCATGGTCCAAGTTTCCCTTCTGTCAAATGTAAACACAATTGATTGGATCTTATAGAGCTTGGTGATCTTACTTCAAGCTGATTAATTTTGTGTCATGCACCCATAAATGAAGTAAGTTTTAGTGACCAAAATATAAACCATATATCTGAAATATGAAGTCACTGATTTTAGAAGATTACTATAAAGAGCAGTACAAAAATAAATTAATTTTTTTAATAAATCATTTCACAGTCACTAAAACAAATAGTATTGTGATTGTATACTTTTCAGAGATGATATACAAATTTTGTTTGTTACTTGTAGGCTTACATGTATGCAATTTTGCACTAAAATGTAGTTTATGTCTGTTTGGTCTATTAATATGCATGCATTTTTTTAAGTGCAGATTTTGACTGCTTTCCATACTTGGGGGCCCACAAAAATTATTTGCAATTGGGGCCCACCCCTCCTAAGGATGGCCTTACATCTATTAAAAGTTATGAACAGTTGGAAACTTTGATCGGAGTTGATGGAAACTGTTGACCAGAGGAAACTGATGAGGAGAATGTAATAATTGCACTATTTGTCTGTTAATTTTATTGACAGTTCAAAAGTTGTTCTCAAGCTTCCACATAAAGTTCTACAAGCTAATAACTCAATTAGCTTGTACACTTTATATAGAACATCCTGTATATATGATATTGAAAGATATTAAAATTAGTATATCAGTATGGCCTTATATGCTTTTGTCACAGCAACATTCCAGTTCTAGTCTATCAGTAGCTACTATGTTTGGAGATCAACTTATATAGCAAGTGTAAGTTAATCCAGTTTTAAATTGAAAATCTTGAGATTAACTTTTATGTCAGCATATATAATATAGTTTAATAATATTGGAAATTAATTTTAATAAAGATGTAATATTAAATGGCTTTTTAAATATTTTGTATTACCTTAAGCACTAAAACTTGGCTATTAATATCCAATGGATTGGCAAATAAAACAATTTCTGGTTTTCTAAGAATAATTGATACAGAAAGACTCCTTGTATCTTCTTGAGAACTGGCTGTAGAATGATATCCACTTGTGCTATCTGATGGTAATCTCCTATGTCCAATAGCTAATACTTTTCCTTGATGTACTGCAATATTAGGAGGGTCTAATTCATCACTCTTAATTTCTTTTCCATATTGATCAGGTAATGCATCATAAATGTATTTAAATATTGCAAGGATATATGGAACAGACACATTTAAACGTGTCTTTTCAACATGAACATCCACTGAAAAAAATTAAAGTATTTAAATATTAACATACTATTCATTTTATTTTAATAAAATTACACTGTCATTTTTAACTTATATTTTAAACTTTTTATTTCATATTCACTAATACAGAGAATTATTTTATTCTCAACTTGATCATCTAAATAGTTATATGTTTATGTTCATATTTTTAATTTACTATCTGTTACTTAAAAATAAAATAAAAAATATATAATCAACAACACAAAACTGGATATACTTAATAAACAAGGTGAACTAAACAGAACCAACTATAACTTAGAATATGTGGGTATTACAGAGCAACCTAAAAATACCTGCCTAAAAGTAGGGTTTGGTTCATCATAAATCAAAAATTGTTTGTTTGATCCTGACAAAGGTCAATTAATTTGATCAAAAATGTTAGATTACATTAATAAAATACACTGCATGTTAAAGGTTAATAAAGGGTAGTTATTTTTTAGTAAGTGCAATTTGAGAAGAATCTAAAGTAACATCTGTCCACATTATCTCAGATAATTGGGGTTCTGCTGTGTACATATATATACAATACACAGTATATGGTACTATAAACATACAAACATACATATTAAGATTTTAATTTAAAATTGAATTTCAATATTAAATTAAAACATTTATTTTTTTAAATAAAAAAACAAAATGTAAGTTGGTACAAATTGGCAGGTGGCGCATTCGACTTACAGATGTTCGTTTGGTTTTAATATTACGTCAATTTGATGTCATTTCGAAAATAAAACTGAACACGTGACGTCAAATCGACGTAATATTCAAACTGAACGATCAGATCCAACGCGTTACTTTCTCGACGATGCTGCCATCTACTGGAATGAATTTTAATATTACTGTATTTACACCTTAATATTTTTTTAAAATGAATTTATAAATATTTTAATATATAAAGTACTTTAAATAAGTAAAACCAGTAAAATTAATAAAACGTTCTTCCTGTATGAGAAATATTTAATGGAGAAAATCGAGTTGCACTTTTTTTATAACCCTTCAAAGTGCTTTTGTAGTGGTTCACTTCAAGACTTGACGTTTTTAGTTAGTTATAAATGTATCAAAAGTGAAGAGAAAGAACTTAAATGTCTCGCTGAAAGATTTACAGTCCTTAGTAATGTACAGAGAGATAAAATGGCGAGTGATTAGCTCGTAAGAATAAGAAATTGGAAGAAACTAAGTTAAAAACTATAAATTCTGAAGAATACTTTCTTACTTTCTTATCTTTTAGGTGTTACCCCTATCTCGCAACATTTTAAAGACGTGTAATTCCTACCTTTCAATACTTTACTGAAGTGTTACGAGGTAGGCAAGTGTTACGGTGTGTTACAAGGAATCAATGTTTTAATGCTATACAATTCCCAACTTACGAATAAACAGAAATTGTTCAGAGAAAGAGCGCATCGTGGGTGTGTTTCGAAAGACAAAGGACATGTCTTAATTCAAAATGGAGGATATGTCTTNATAAAATAATTATTTAAAAATTATTGAAAAATGCATTTTGTTTTTAAATTTATTACAGTTGACTCCTGATAACTCAAAGTAGAAGAGATAGAGAAAAATTTTCAAGGTGATGAAACTTATAAATTACAGAAATTAGCATTACTGTAATGAGATTGTGAAGTACTGGGACACAAACAGTACAGTACTTAAATATGGTATATTTTTATTTTTTGAATTTGTACATATATAAAATAACAAAATATTTATACCAATAGTGAAAGTATGTGTTATATGAGTTTGATGTTGATAATTCATTGCTTTATGCTAAACAATGTCTTAGATGTTTTCATTCATCTTGAAAACGTATTATTTCATATGTGATGTAGCTTATAGAAAGTCTTTTTAAAAATTTATAAAGAAAATATCAACTATAAAATTTGATTGGCTAATTCATATTTAAGAATGACATTGTTATTCTAGATGTGAAATGCTCTTAAAATGTTTATAGTTTTTAATCATAGTTTCAGAGGCAATAATTTGCCAGGTAACTTTCTTTATTTTTCCAAATGTACATAATTAGATGCTTGATTTCATTTCAAGTTTGTACTGATATGGTTTAAATGTAATTCCTTAAAAATGCAAAAGAAAACAAAATATCAAACATGAAATAACTTCACCAAAATGCTAGATTTTCAGTTATTAAAATATGATTTCAAAACTAAAGTATTTAGACTTACAGACACACACAATGCATTAAATGTATGAAAGTTAAATTAGGGTAAAAAATAAAATTTGACATAGTGAGATTACAGTTAACAAAGTTTGAGAGTTGATGGTATTATTATTTTTAATTAATATCCTAATTCCAAAGTTAATTCATGTTAAAAATCCATTTAAATGTTTATCATCATGAATACCTGCAGCATCACCATTTCCTGTATGACGATACGTTAGATCAATCATTGGAGGCATACTGATGCTAATTCCTGCCACACCACTTTGCGAATCTCCACTATAGGACTGGAATATCCTACAAATTTATAACATTTTTCATAATATAATTCAAGCTTAAACTTAAAATTTTATGATTATTATTATTATTATTATTTAGTATAGAAATATTGCATAATAAAATTTCAAATCAAATTATAAGAAAATAAATTAATAATTTAACTTTAAAAAATGTGAAACATATAAATAAAAAATGTATTTAATAAATACTGTCAAACTTCTATATAATGAAGTTTCCAAATCCTGATAAAAAATTCACTATAGAAAAATTTTGTTATATAGAAATTACACTTTTTGGTAAATAAAGTATTATTTTAATGTAACTTTTTTGTTATTTTATGTAATTTATATTAACATAAACGTAATATAAACATAGTTTTAATTTTAAGTAAGTTTACATTTATGTGTTAAAATACATCTTATTTAACTACATTTTTGTAAAGAAATTGTAATTTTTTGTTCCACAGAACAATTAAAAAATGTTTTCTCTTTGTAATATGCTTCATACTTATTAAGATCATTAAAACTGCTTCATCTACGTCGACATAAATACAGGTTCTCACACATTTTCCTGTAGGTCTTACATCAATGGCTAATTTAAAAACTGATTTGCAATTTGTTATTATGGTTCATAAACTAATTACAAGAATTCCAAACTTTGCTGCAATGTCTTTCTTTTCTGAGCCTTTATCAACTTCCCATAACATATTAATTTTTTTAGTAATGCTTAAACAATATATTAACAGTTGTATTGTAGATTGTCTAAAATCAATAAATGGTGGTTCCTTTTCTGACAGACTTTGTCTTCGAATTTATTAATATTAACAGTTCTTTAAATTCCAACTGGACAAATTATTAAATAAAATAAAATCTCACTAACCTCAAAAATTAGTCCAGCAGTTGTCAAAATTATCAATCACCTTTCTAACATTTTTGACAGTTTTTAATTGTAAATTGTTTATCTGTCAACAATAGCATTTGGACCTATTCTCTCCCCCCTTTACAACTGGTAGCCACATAGGGGAGGCAGATTACATGATGGGTTTTAAAAGATAATGATCAGTATTTCTCACACCTGAACTGCAGTTTTACAAAGGGTTTACAGATTTATATATGAAATTGAACTGAAATTCGAACTTGGCCCAGATGGAGTAATCAGCTTTTAATGATTGATGGTCCTTACAAATGAAAAATATTCATTATATAGAAATTTAACTTCATTATTTAGAAGCAATTTTACATATATTTTTGGCTGAAAGAGCAGTATACAATGCAAAAATTCATTATATAGAGATATGTTTATGATATGGAAGTTTGACTGTATATCACAATCAATATGCTTCAATAAATTAAAAATAATTTAAACAAATGTAACTATAGATCCCTCAATTTTATGACCTAATTGGTTATTGAAAAACTTTCAAGACTATCTTTAGATGAATTGTTGTAAATTGAATTTCCTTACACACAACAGTAAATTAAAATTTTAGTCCTAAAAACTATATATAACCCCTGGCAAAAATTATGAAATAACTTCATTGTGAAAATGTTGTGGCTACACGCCTGTTTTTCTTTTATTACACGCCTGTTTTTCTTTTATTATTATTATTATTATTATTATTATTATTAGTCCGTATAGTTTTAGTTTAATTTAAACTCTAGAACTTTCCTTCCTTCCGATTTCTTTGTTCCTTTGTCTCGGATTTCCAAGAATTCGCCTCACCCCTGACCCATCAGGGGGTAGCCTTAGACAAAAGACGAAAACGGGTCTGCGAGCGAGGAAAACAAAGGGTTTTTAGGCACTCTTAGGCCGGACTCGGAGAGAGAGAGAGAGACGTGTGGCAGAAGGCTCTGGAACAAAAGGTCGGAGGAGCGCTGCAGAAAGAGGCCGTAAGAAGCGCATTGATAGAAGAATTTAGTCGACGATTATAAGACAACGCCGAAACGGACCGAAACGGTTCTAAAAGGAAGAACAGCCGAGACGAGGAACTGTAGAGAACTACCAGGAAATTCGGGTACCCTCTGTCCTTTAATTCATCTTATTTCCCCTTTCTATCTTTTCTATCTCCTAGTTTATTTTAGTTTTAAGTTAGTTTAAGTTTCCGCGCGCAACTACTTTTGTCAAGAGATAGTTATCGGAAAAGTAACTACCAGTATATTGGTATATCCGGTCGCTCGGGATTTTGGAACGTTTGTAAGTAACAGCGGGAATCCGAACTCATTTTGTAAATATATTAATGTTAGCGCGAAATTAAACTTGTTTCATTGGAAAAACGTGTCTGTGTTTTCCTGTCCGCGCTATACATCTTCACATTGGCGTCCGCGACAGGATTCCCGTCTTGTTAGCCTAACTCGGTGCATAACGGTATTAATATCGACTGTTAATTGTAAGATGGAGGATAAAGGTACTCCAGATATGAGTTCTATGGCGGGAGGCCATGTTGTGAATTACCCACTCGTGGTTACTGGGTTTTTAGGGATGATCCCCTCCTTCTCGAATTCACCTAACGATACGGTAAACATAAAGCAATTTTTTATGACCATCGATAATGTAGCTAAGCTAGCCCATTGGGGGGACGAAGTTAAGGTGGCTGCGTTGCAAGCCAAACTAAAAGGTGAGCCACTGAACACCTTCTTTTGTTTATTGGAACAAACGCCTGCCCTAACATTTGAAGAAATCAAACAAGATCTAATTAAATGCTTCGAGAAGCATGAAGAAAAGGGAAAGGGCTTACTTGACCAACTATTAAATCTGAAGCAGAGCGGAAGGGAGTCGGTCAGTGATTACATCACCAGAACTAAAACTATAATGTCTAGGGCTATCCGGAGTAACCCAGATATNACGGGCCAGCCCACCTACAATCAATTGTCTGATTATCGGAGGGAATTATTAGAGAAGTTGAACACTGTTCGTAACCTGGCTTATTCACGGGGTAGGAGAAACAACTTAAAAAATAGAGAGCGGTGTAATATCAAAAGAAAGGGGCGTGTTTTCAGTGTTGGTGAAAGAGTGTGGCTGCTACGCAAACACCAGGGTAGAAGATTTGGAAAGTTCTCCCCTAAGTATTCGGGTCCCTTCCGCATTACGAGAATTTTAGGCCCAGTAACTGCAGAGTTGGGTGATGGTAGCGGAGGAAAAAAATGTATTGTACATTTTGATCGTTTGAAACCATATTGTTCATATGCTGTATGTAAAGGGCGAGGCCCTTACCGACCCAAGAGTGATGAATCTCCTAATAGGTCTGATGACGATGATGATGATGGAGAAGAGGAGATTACATTACCGTACGGAAGACCACCGATTGCACCCATCAGGATACCAGACGATGACGTACCACCCGAAAATCTTCCCGAATTGGATGACAGCCGTCAAGCTGCTCCTGCAAGCAATAACCGTTACCACCTTCGTAGCAGGAGAGTAGATTACTACAAACTCCATCATGGACTTTGAGCCTTCTCATTGGGGCGTATGTGGCTACACGCCTGTTTTTCTTTTATTAATATTATTATTATTATTATTAGTCCGTATAGTTTTAGTTTAATTTAAACTCTAGAACTTTCCTTCCTTCCGATTTCTTTGTTCCTTTGTCTCGGATTTCCAAGAATTCGCCTCACCCCTGACCCATCAGGGGGTAGCCTTAGACAAAAGACGAAAACGGGTCTGCGAGCGAGGAAAACAAAGGGTTTTTAGGCACTCTTAGGCCGGACTCGGAGAGAGAGAGACGTGTGGCAGAAGGCTCTGGAACAAAAGGTCGGAGGAGCGCTGCAGAAAGAGGCCGTAAGAAGCGCATTGATAGAAGAATTTAGTCGACGATTATAAGACAACGCCGAAACGGACCGAAACGGTTCTAAAAGGAAGAACAGCCGAGACGAGGAACTGTAGAGAACTACCAGGAAATTCGGGTACCCTCTGTCCTTTAATTCTTCTTATTTCCCCTTTCTATCTTTTCTATCTCCTAGTTTATTTTAGTTTTAAGTTAGTTTAAGTTTCCGCGCGCAACTACTTTTGTCAAGAGATAGTTATCGGAAAAGTAACTACCAGTATATTGGTATATCCGGTCGCTCGGGATTTTGGAACGTTTGTAAGTAACAGCGGGAATCCGAACTCATTTTGTAAATATATTAATGTTAGCGCGAAATTAAACTTGTTTCATTGGTAAAACGTGTCTGTGTTTTCCTGTCCGCGCTATACATCTTCACAATGTTTTTATAATGTTTTAAGCATGTGTAGCAAAGAAATAAAATGCAATTGATACATAATAATTTCCTAATAATATTCAGACATTTTGACTATATTAAGAATAATTTAAAAAAATCAACATTATGCGAGAAATTGAGCATAGAACTTTTGATTTCCCCCTTACCATCCTCTACCCACTTCTGTACTTGCATTGCATGGATGATATCCTGATAGCCTGGGAGGGCACTTATGAAATCAACATAACATTATAAAAATTAAATAAATAAACGTTTTTAATATTACAAATAACATTTTGGAATTATTTAAAACTGAGGAAAAAATTATGGAATCATCTTATATTTACACTCCTCAAAAGTGAAATTGCAACATTATGAAGGAATGTGTATAACCACATGCAAATTGCAGGGCTGGTAGAGGTGACATAGATATGTAAATGATTAAGTTTGCATATGCATTGGGTCATGTGGTACTCAGTTTCAGGCCATAAAGACCAGTATCAGGCAAGGGTTGTAAATACTATCAGCTATGTAGCACTTTGTGGCTATTATTGTATTATATTTTTTTTTATCTTTTATTTTCCATTTATGTCATGTCACGCATATGTTTTGTACCGTTCCTTTTCCTTTTCCTTCCTTGATACCACCTGTTATCTGATGGCTGGGTTTTCCAACATTACGATTGGTCCATGATAGGATCACATGGGACAGAGTGACATAGTTGGAGGGAGATATAAAAGCGTATGTAACGGATAAAAAGGCACCTTGGTTTTCCTCTTTGGGAGAGTGCGCCGTGGATGGAAGGAGAGACAATACGTAACAGAGAAGAGTCAACCGTCGATAGAGTTAAAGAAGTTGTGGTGCGGAAAGAAAATCTGTTTCCATCAAAGTCAATGATTGCACCGTTACGAAAGAAATTTTGCAAGTTTCTTAGGTACTCTGTTTCCCAATTTTTATTTGTAAAATTCTTTTTTTTCGTTGGATTTATATTACTTGTTGGGCAAAGCAGGGCCTCGCGTGAGGAAGGAAATTTGGAAGGGAAAATATCAAGCAATTTTGTTATTGTTACGTTATCTATCTCCGGTATTAAACTGTATCTTTGTATTAATATTGTATTACATTTTTTGACTAAAATAAACTTTTGTTTGTCCAGTTACATGTTTTCACCAACTATTCATTATCCTTCCCTTTGTTCTATTCCTCGTTTGTCTGACACCGCAGACTGCGTGCCTTGCGGAGTTTACAGCAATGACGTACAGCAGCCAAACTTTTGAAGAAGTACAGTAATACCTCGACTTACACTACCCCAACTTACGTGATTTTCAAATCTCGTCGATTTGTCTTTTGTTTGAGTGCCACTCAAGTCTTGATTACTCACTCCCCCACACCTATTGTTCAGCTTACATGTTCGGACATGTTGTGTGGAATTGACATATAGCTACAATTTATTTTGTGTTATTTATTTCTGTGTTCATTATATCTACAGAGACTTGAGAGACTCTATGTAGTGATTTCTTCTAACCACGAATGAATCAAAAGACAAGATAAGATTAACGAGAACATTTATTAGCTTACATCCAACTTGGATTTTACACAAATTGCGAAATTATACCCGACTTATGCAGTTATTGCTCGGTCCCACCTATCCCGTAAGCTTGGGGTATTATTGTATAGAAATAGCAGTGAGCTGAATTCCACCAGCTCACTATCTAAATAAATATAATACTATATTATATTTATTTTGAAAGCTAAAATAAATATAAATTATTTCAGAGATTTTGTAGATAACAATATAGAGGGAAAAACTGCATCAGTTCCTGAAAAAATAGAAAAAGCTAGAAAAATAATTAATGTCATAGCAATTAGTAGTGAAGATTGAAACAGGTTTCAGTTTAACAAATGTAATATGTACAAAAATAAAAGTATAATTTGCAATATATGCAAAAATAAGAAATATAATTTTAGATATATGTTCAACATATATCTGAAATTAATTTGTTAGGAAAAGAATTAAAAGTTTGAGACACTATTTTTTGTAAAATCATGGATAAAGACAAACCATAGATTGACTACAGATACTAGAATACATCAGAAATCAAAAAAAACTTTTAGTATAAATCAAACTGCTGTTTCAAACTTATAAATATTATTTTTATTAAACTTTGAAGTTAAAGTTGTTTGTGAAATTTAAGTAAAATTTTATTTGTACATGAAAATAAATTAAATAAAGAGTAAGTATTAAATGTTTTTTTTTTGTTATTATAAAAGTTTGTTTTAAAAAGGATTCCAAAACGTTTTTAACATAAAGATAAATATGTGAAAAAATACTTTAAAAAGAGATGTCTGGAAAATCTACACCATACGGATGTAGAATTGAGAGTTGAAGGAAGAAGGAGAGGAAGAGGAAATTCTACACCCATAGGGTGTAGAATTTCCTCTTCCTCTCCTTCTTCCTTCTTCCTCTCAACTCTACTTGCACCCCTGAAGTGAGCTGGTTGTTAAAAATTTACTAACACACCACTGTCTATTTCCTGTTAAAACCTTATGAAATATTTTAATTATAATTTTAATAATTTAATATATGAATATTACAAAGTTGTAATAATAATTTGAGGTAATAACATATTAATTTTTAATATGAAATTGAAATTTTATTAAATCTTACTTTTTCACACATAATGGACTTTCAGACCTAACATCTTCCAAAGTAGCAGCTTGCAATGTGCATTTCAATTCTAAAGCTTTATCACTATACATTTCAATTGAAATATTTACTTCATCTAGTTCAAATTTTGATAGAGCATGTATTGGATCACGTATTGGTGAAGAAAACTGTAACAACATGAAAACATTAGTATATGAGAGATGATAATTATATTTTTGTTCAGTGTTTTTAAATAGCAACAACATTAGAAAATATTTACAAATAACTATCTCAAATCTTTATCAAAAAGATAGTTTTCATTATTTTACACTCAAAATGTTTTTATATTTCATATTTTTATATTTTGTTCGTATAAAATAAAAAAATAATTTTTAACAATACAATAGTCTTTGTTAGACTTAACATCGACGAAAATTCAACACAAAGTGACACGCAACGGAGAAAAATGTCAAGATGGGATAAATTAATATATTTTTTCATACATAATCGGTTATTCGAAACATCAATCTTCCAAACAACCCCAGTCCCCAATTGATTCGGATAATCGACGCTCTACTGTATCTAAATTAACCTTGAATACGTTTTAAATGTAACATAATAATAAAAACTAGCTATTTTAATTATTTGAAACAATTATTTTTGAAATATTGAATATAATCATTATCTATTTATTCAAATTAAATGTTTAATTTAAAACACAAGGTACAAAGTTACCATTTCTTCAATGTCTGTATAAAGTGTTAGTGACATTCCTTCCAATACAAAGGTAACACTAGTTTCTTTATAAACTTCATTTGATATACTTAAAAATGCTTCAAGTTTTTTTACAGAATCTTCATTTACAGTTGGAGTATGTGATTCCATTGGTGAAGTTGGTGATGATACTATATAAATAATTTATAAAACATAAATTTTCAAATATATAGATTAATAATTGAATAAAATAAAATAGAGTATAAAATAATGTTATATCATTACAAAAATATCAAGAAATAAGATAAATATATCAAATACAAAATATAATTTATATAATCTTTCTAACAATAAATCAATGTAACCTTTTAAGAGATCCAATTATTTACTAAACTGCTAAAGTAGAACCTGGGCTTAGCAGACACTCAGGAGACAAGAGACTTTATTTGTTTAACTCAGACATCTGTCAAAAAGTTGCTGTATATTTTATAATATCCAACAGTGTTTTAAAAACTAATTGATACATGGTTTCAAAATAGACAGGCAATATTACTGATTACTGTATGTTATCTAGTCTTCTGAAGCAATATGTTTGCCAATTTTTCATACACATGACTTATTTGATTCATTCTGCTTTCATTATTCTTTCTTTCAAAATTTTTTTTCTGAGTTTCTTCATATTTCCATTCCATCATGTAAGGGAAAAATGCCAACATCAATTTACCAAGGTCTAATGCAAAGAGTGTTAGAGTAAGATCTAAAAAATTAAACTAATTATTTTTTTATCTACTGGAAACTGGTGCTGGAAAATGTAGATTTTTAAAAAAAGAAAAGCTGCCCCCTGGTGACGATACATGTAGAATTTTCTTCTGTAATTTTTCATCCAATGGAGAATTATTGTTTAATAAAAATTGAAGACAAAAACTGCCCAAAAAGGATCACCATTTATTCTTTGTGTTCCAAGACTATACACTTTTTCGGTGACCGACCTTTCTTTGTAGGCTGCCTGTCGCCGGAAAATTACAAAGTGTCCTCTTAAAAAACACAAAACACATCCTACAAAACTAATAATTTTATTTCATAAGTTTAAATACATAAAGAAATTCTACAAAATGATAGCGCCAAAGATAAGTATAATATTTTTTAAAAATGATGCTTCACATGAAGCATGTAATGCATTATACTATCTGCTTAACAAAAGTTTTAGAAAATAAAAAGATTAGAAAATAATTTGTCTGTTGTCCTAGAAGGCAGTATTCACTAAATTAAGGGGTAAATATACATTAATAGCCCTATTGCTATGCCAAGATTAAATGTTTTAGTTGCTAAATCCAGGTATCACAGCATAATGTTGAATGTTAATTCAACATCTTTCAATTAATATTCTTATGCGATTATAATCTGAAATAATAATGCAAATTCACAAGGATATTCAAACATTAGTACAGTTTTGTACAGTACCATTAGTACAGTATTTGTATCAAAATTAAATTATAAATAATTAAATTTTATTACTTATTAAAATTGATTTTATTAATGTTCATAATAGATATTTCGTAACAAAATTATCTTGGACAATACAAACTGGGACATCATTTCCAGTTTGTATCCCTCACCCATGCTGAGTCAATTCTATTGCAAACTCAACTTATACATAATGAGAATAATATGTGGTACCTCACTTCATATTAATTAATTAATTAATTATAACAGAAATATAAGCAGAAACTATTAATTTTTGGTCTGTATTTCTTTAAACAGTTTTTTAAATCTATAAGTACTACATATTTACAAAATTATTACAGAAAGATTAAAAAGTCTTGATTTATATAATTATTCAAATAAGTTTGATATAAAAAATTTACACACAAGTATAATTTTTACATGTATACATATGTAAGAATTTATTGTTTTGGAATATCTTCATATTGACCTTTCATCATGTTGAGATTTTGTATTTTGGAATTTTGCATAATAACACTTTAAGGATTCTCTATGCTTTTAAAACTATAATATAAATTTTTAATTATTCTTGAGATATCAGTCATAATTTTTGATTAATAGCAACATGTGATGCAACATTACATAATCCATTTGAAAAGTTCCAATTATAATATCTTATAATACTGTATTTGGCATTAAAAACATGAAAAAAATTTTATACTGTACTGTGCATGTCTTGCAAAGAAATTAACCAGAAAATCATAAATTTCTCTATTTGGACATTATGTTTTGTTCAGTAGGTTACACAAACAGTTGTTAAATCTTATTAAATATTACTTCAGTGACAGAAATTTGTATTTTAACATATAAACATTCAATGATTGCCTAAATGATAGGGATACAATTTGGCTATTTTAAACAATACGAATTAATTTGCTACTAGAGGTAGGCGTTAGGTGCCATCTCTTAACTAAATTAATAATTATAATTTAAATAGCCTGATCATTTAGGCGATCGTTGAATGTTTTTATATACTCATTGGACTTTATGATTTTTGTTATATTTGTATTTTAACACCATATATTGCAAACATAGGCCACACCACACTCACTAGTTCCCACATAACTCCATCTTCTGTCAGACAAATTACATAATCACTTCATTTACCCTTTCCTTCCTCTCCAAAAAAATTACCATCCCATATACAGCCATAGAAAATCCCCATTTAATCTCTCACCCCCTCAAGGTTTTATGAAAAAATCCTATCATCTAACCTCATTCCTCTTCCATTCTTTTTTAAAATACAACCGCTTCTTCACTATCCATTTCCATGCAAGTGCCAAGGAATTTTTATCCCTTTGATGCATTCAGGATTGGAGTTCTTTTTGTACCCTATAATTGGATACCTTCTAGGTATATTGGGAGTGCAATATACCTGTTGGTATATTGTACTCCGAATATGTCCTTATTGCCTATTTAAAAACCATTCTCCTTGACAAAGTTTATGAGACTTTTCACAGGTTCTCGGTGTAAATCTCAATCTTAGTTCCCAATCCCAAGATCAAGTATCTTATGTGAAGCAATGCCACACATTCAAAAAGAATAAGGTGGGCAGTTTCATTCATCAAACCACATTTCCAACAAAGTGGCCTCCTTTATAAATGATCATTCTGTACAGATATTTTCATAGATGATAGTGTTCAGTCAAAAAACCAACTACTGCTCTCATCTTATTCCTATTTAATTTTAATAAATCAGATATCAGTGGTCCCACCCAACACCCATGTCCAGAACCTTCTGGACCAGTCTTGGATAAGGATACACCTTACTTAGCAAGTCTGTCTGCATTCTCCTTTTCTTCAATCCTAAAATGTCCTGTCACCCATCCCATAGTAACTTTGTTGCTGTAAGCCAGTTCAAATAGAATGGTTTTGCAATTCAACACCAGTCTAGATTTAACTAGAGTGGAATTATTTGTCTTAATGGCTGCTTGACTATTAGAGAATATAAAGATTCTCTTGTTTACATAAGCCCTCTTCAAATTTTCTGTAAGACAGTGTATAATAGAATAAATTTTGGTCTAGAACGCAGTAACATGCATACCTATACTCTGGAAAATCTCAACCTGTGAGCAATAACCCTAATACCAGCTCTTGCCTGGTTAACAGTCATGGAACTATCTGCAAATTGGACCAAGTCTATCCCTCTCATTAATAACTTCCAAACTTTGCTCTTCTCATGAATTAAACAAAGATGTGAATTTATAAAAAAAAAAAATAAATCAGATGTTAATGTCAGGAATGCAAATCCTTTGGTATCCATATGAAACTGGGTAATGAAAAATCAATGCATAATAAGTTTTAAATAGCAATTTTGTACTTACTCCCAAAGTGAAAAATCAGTTAATTTAAAAAAGGCGGATAAATGGTGTTAGAGGATAGGTTTTATTTCCTGTTTATAAAGGCTTGAACGATTAATGGAGTAAATGAGAAATTACAGAGTGATTTTTAATGGATGCATACAGAGTAAGTGATTGGTTTTGTAGGGAGAGGAAAAGAAAGTGGAAGTGATTGCATAATCTGTCTGGCAGAGATTATAGGTTAGATCAGGAATCCTCTGTCAACTACTTCAAGTATTCCTTGATCTTTTAATCTTTTATAGACCTTCCTCTTCTCTTTTTGCTAATAAAGTTAATAATAATAATAAGCCCACAAAATCCTACCCTACCTGTGTCAACCATCAGACCACGTGGGGGGTGGGCAACGCATAACATTGATATTTATGCAGCTAACAGGGTAAAGGTAACCCAACAATATGGAGAATTGTAATAATGTTGAATGCATAGAGTCGCAGCCTGGGGGTGATCACTGGGGCACGTTTGGAGCTGACACTGGATGTGACAGCATGCAAGCCATCAGTGGCTCTCTGTTGAGCTGGCTGGTGTGAGTCGGGTGACCCAAAGAGATTACAGCCAACTAACGGGGAGGAGAGGGAGTGGATGATGCCCTGCACAGTAGGGCTTTGCCCACAGACACTGCTGGCTCATCAGCAATGACCACAAGTAATATATTAAGTAATGATAGTAGACACAAGTGGTCAACAGAAGAATTAGAAGAACTTATATTCTATTATATTAAAGCAAGATCAGAAGGACCCAGATATATAAGCAGATTGGAGACACTTTTTATTAACAGGAACTGTTGTGGCGGTACGCCATGTTTTTGTAAATAGGGGTAGATATAAATTTTATTTCTCCTAAATTCCTTTGTCTTTAACGTGTTTCTAGAACTTTCTAACCTATTCCTTTTCTGTGGGTGGAGGACGACCTTTGTCCAAGGACAAAGGGGAGAAGACAAAGGGGACATTAAGAAGCCCTGAGGCCATCAGGAGAACGAACAAGACACTTTCGGGTCAGCGTCCGAGGTGTACAGACGTAGGAAACAGCAAGCAAAGGGTTTGTCACCTAGTGGGACAAACGGAGAAGGCTTGGAAGTCGTCTGCGAACGGACGAAAATTAGAAAGACACCCAGATTAAGACCTCAAGAAAAAACACTCCCGAATTCTCAAGAGACGGAATCAAGAGGAAGGAAATTGAGTTAATTCAAGTACCGATATAGAGAAGATCGGAGACTCCCAAGTTTACCCGGGTATCCCCACAAATCTGTCCTTTATACTTGTCTCTTCTCTTCGTATCTCTTAATTTCTTCACCCTTCTTCCTTAGCATATAAGCTAGATTAAGGTAGATTT